ACTGATCAACTGGTTTTTGACTTTTATTTTTCAGAACTTATGAAGGAGGAAGAGCAGCACATTTCATCAGCTAATGCAATTTAGTTACCCAAGGGCAAACATCTAATAGCCTGTTGTTCTGCCCACTAAAAGGGGTATTTATTCCCTGGAAAAGCTAACCTTCACACTCAAGAGTCTTGCAATAGCTAACAGCAAGTCAATCGAAGTGACAAAGATTTTTCCCTTCCCCTTAACTCCCCTATGATGTGACAGACTCTCAGCTTTTACTACTGCAATTCTATGGACTTTAATTTTAAATCAGGGACTCCTCTTTGCTCTAATTTAGACGTTCAGCTTGTGTTTCAAAACACTTTTCTGTGTTGTATGAGAAGCTTGAAGCACTATCACTGGAGAAGTGCTTCACTTCATAGCCAGTAAAACAGTTCCTGCCACAGAGTCTAAGCAATCATCAGTAATAATTCCTCAGTCAACTTTATTTCAAAGATGTTTCAGAGCAATTCTTAAGTCAAAAGAAGCCATTTTCTGCTGGTTTGCACCCTACCAATACAAAGACACCTTAACTATGAAAACATGAGACCTGATGGCAGTCTTCAAGTAAATTACAGCAATGGTATCCTCATTTTAACTTGGTTTTTTCTGCTAGTAGTATATGCAAGGGCAACTAGGAACATTAGGAACAAAGTACAGCAAAATACAGTAAGTAGGATTCAAAATATCTTCAAGAACTGGGAAGATTTTAAGCAGAGAGTCCGAGATCAACAGAGTCCCTCAAACTCCTTTGGAATACCACAAAAGGCTCAAGAATACTACAGATCAGAAGTCTCTTTCATCACACAGAATTTTTGCTATTCCAAACAGTATCCAATACTAGTGCATTGCACAGCACTGGAACTACCAAGTTGCTTAAAACATCGTTATATACTCCCTTACATCTGCTGAGAAGTCACAAGCTACTTCAGAAAACTTAATATGACTGCTTCTTTCCAAATATATTATTCTTGCATCTAATTAAAAAAAATAAAATAATTTTTCATGAGACTGCCAGATCAGACATCTTGTTTTCCTCAGTGAAAGTTAAGGAATAGAAAACAGTAGGGAATTTTAAGTCATCACCAGACACTTGTTCAAAGCAGGACTGTTAAAGCAGATCACCACAGTGTCAATACTGTAACTGACTTTCATGTTCTGGCACATCGCTTCTCAACAGTCACGCTTGTTAGGAGAATGTTTCTACAGATATAGCTTCACATTATTTGTGAAGTACAGTTATGAAAGTTTCTTTGCACATCTTCTCCTAGGACCAGACCATGAAAACACACAGCTGCATTTGTCTTGCACCTACTAAAAGCCCAAGTCCTTGTGTCAATGACCTAGTATCAAGCACTTGCAGTAAGCAGACAAAACACCATTCAAAAATCATTCAAGTTATACCAAGTACTATCTTGGTTAAATTCTTAAGAACTTTAAGCGAGGAACCACCATACAACCAGTACTGCTAACTTAGGGGAAAAAAACCACAGAAAAACAGAAATTTAGCGTAAACTTCAAAGCACATCCAAACAGATCCCCATAGAATTTAGGAGACAGTTCTTGCCACACTATAGTTGGGAGACACTTAATACATAAGTCAAGAAACTTCAGTCTACCTCACAGGAAGACTTCAGAATCTACTAATGGCATCCTTCTTTTATCATTCACAAAAGTTTTCCAAAGGACTCTGAACATCAAGCTGACTTCAACAGGTAGAATTCACTGACAAGAGCAGGAATAGCCAGAGAGCTCAGCTCCAGGTTACTTGTCAATCGTTTCAGCCTGATTCTGTGGTACAGAATAAACAGCTGTTGGACAGTTTCCAATCATAATCCTTTCTGAAAAGGGTTTTCCCCCAAATAAGCTGACATGCTGTTTTAAAGCATCTGCCAACCACTGATCATCCTTCAATCATTCAAGTACTGGCAGACACTCTGCTGCAGTTGGTTTTATTAGAATTAACACACCAAGCCACTATGGCTCCAAAGCAATTAGTGGACTGGTTTCCTAATGTAAAGCTTTTAGGCTACTGAAAAAAAGCAACACACCACCCCATAGTTATTTCAAGCTTCATTCTCAAAGTTCTCATCCATCATTTTACCATTACAAAGCCATTCTACTTCTCTATCAGTCTGGCCAAGAAGCCAGTTGGGTATGAGAGAGAAAACATTGCTCATGAGGACTAATAACTTTGTGGAAAAAAATATTTTAATACATTTAGTGACAGCTTTCTCAGTAAATTGCAACACAGGTAAAGTAATCCTTAATATTCTGAAACATAAACACTTAAACCACAGTGTCCAGATTCTTGCTACAATTAGAGGTATCTTGGATTAAGGACAGTGACCTAAGTATACCAATAATCATATTTAGTTGCCAATATAGCTAAAGGAGGCAAGGAAGATCTGTATAGGTTACCAATGCATTTTAAGGAGAGAGTAGTGTATTCACGTCCTTAAGCACAACAGGAGATTTCAGTTCTGCACAATCTGTTCATTAAGAAAAAAAAAAAACACAACCAAAAGCAATACAACAAAAAAAACATGCCAAGATCAAATACTTTTATAAGAGAATAGGAAAGAATGGAATGAGATTACAAGATTGAAAGAGTTGTTCAACTTACTCCTTCTCAGCTTTCATGTCACTAAACTGTGCAACAGCAGCAGGGGACTAGACTTAATGATCCAGGAGACACATTAAGTTGCATTTTTATATAGATGGAATGATGGAGGCTTCTGAAAAATGAGCTACTTATTACTGTTCGCTTCACTGTAGCTTTAAGTTAGTAAAATGCACATCATTTCCTCAAGATAAGATCACAAAAGAAAAATAGTTTTAAAACCATCTTTAAATCTCTACCACCATCTGGAGGATATGCTATGAAATAAGGCATTAGTCCCACAGTATTTGAAGAACACCTATCGAGAGAGGCCAAAACAAAAAACAGTTTTCAGCTCAAATCTATTCCAAAAATTAGTTTAGGATTTACCAAGATAAACCCTTCTTTGAGAAGAGATTCAGTCCAAAACACCTCATGGAAATCCTTCCCAGCTCACAAATCTACAGAAAATGGTCCACAAAAGTTTGACAACTGTTCCAGTTTAGAAGCTGTAAAATGCTCGAGTTGTTAAATAAGACCTTAGAAACCTAAAAAGAGAAGAATGCAAACACAAAGCAATTCCACTATTCTTTAGTCAAGAATCTTTGCAGAAGGTAAACTACTTTGTTTTCAGAAATGAACTTTTTAAAGAGAAGTTTCTTACTACTCCTGACTTGAGGCTTCACTCAACATGAAACCACACATTCTCGCTTCTGTCACTAGCAGTGGCAGGCAATAAGTACTCTGTAACTTTCAAAAAAATTCATTATTTACAGCCAATTATTCCCTGATCTAAAAATAACAACAAACAACAAAACATATATTCAGAAGTGCCAACCCACAGTCTTCCAAGAGAAAAACAAACAAACAAACAAAACTTCAAGTCTTAAGTACCATGACCAAAAGCAATTATTATCATTGACCAAGGCAGGCATTTCACTAAAACTATGATAAGCATCGCTCTTTTAGAGCTACCTCTTATCTCTATATTCATTGTGACTCTGGTCACAAGTGGTGTTCCCCAGAGCTCACTACTGGGACCAGTTCTGTTTAATATCTTTATCAATGATCCAGAGAAGGTGATAGAATTCACCCCCAGTAAATTCACAGATGACATCAAATTGAGCAGGAGTATTCTTCTGCTAGAGGGCAGGGATGCTAGAGGGATCTGAACAGGTTTGATTAATGGGCCAAGGCCAATTGTATGAGGTTCAACAAGGCCAAGTGCCAGGTCCTGCACTTGGGTCACAACAATCTCTGGGTCAATGGCATCCTGGTCTGTATCAAGAAGAGTGCAGCCAGCTGGAGGAGGGAAGTGATTGTGCCTCCGTACTTAGCACTAGTGAGGCCACGACTTGAGTACTGTGCTCACTTTTGGGCACCATAGTATGAGGCACTGAAGCGCAGGTGCAGGTCCAGGGAAGAGCAAAGCTGGTGAGCTGTCTAGAGAACATGTCTTATGGGGAGCAGCTGAGGGAGCTGGGATTGTTTAGTATGGAGAAGGGGAGGCACAACTGCCTGAAAGGAGGGTGTAGTGAGGCAAGTGTTGGTCTCTTCTCCCAAGTTAGCAGCAACAAGATGAGGGGAAATTGCCTCAAGTTGCACTAGGGGAGGTTTAGATTGGGTATTAGGAAAAAATTCTTTACTGAAAGAGTGGTGATGCATTGGAATAGGCTGCCCAAGGAAGTGGTGGAATCACCAACCCTGGAGGTGTTCAAAAATTGTGTAGATGTGGCACTTCAAGATATAGTTTAGTGGTCATGGTAGTACTGGGTTGACGACTGGACTTGATCTTAGAGGTCTTTTCCAACCCTAATGATCCTATGATTGGTATTAGAACTTTTACTAAATTTATAAAAGGACAGATAAAACTGATCTAAAATTAGGGGTTTAGTGAATAGTTATTTTATTAGATTTTATTTCAGTCAATTTTTTGTTTCAGTTTTGTTTAGGATTACCACTCTCCAACCACCTCCTTTATAGCAGCTCTTATTCTGAACATAAGAGTTGCTGAATCTGAACACTTAAAATACAAGTGCTACACTCAAGAGTTGCATGAACTTTATACACTGTAGACAAGTTTGGCACTGCCGCATATGTTCAGTGCCATGAAAGTTAGGAAAAACTTGTGCTTCCCTTAACGTATCTCTAAAAACACACAGAGGAAACATTGACAATAGATTTTACGACAGAAGCCATTAGCCTTTTCCATATGTATTTGCATTTTAGGAGGCTCTTGAATGTAAAAGGAAAAAAAATTTTTAAAAAAATGGTACTAAGTGTAAGATTAATGTTTAACCAAAAAGGGATAATCCCGTATGACCCCTAAGAGCTCCAAGCCTTCACTGAAAAACAGTTAGAAGCTACTTACTGTAGTATCCATAAAGTACAGTGTCTTCAATTTGTCTTGAAACATTTGCATCAGCCCAGGCCTAGTAATAAAACATAGAAGCATTTAAAATCAAATGAAACAAGACAACACGTCATTCAATAGCATTTCTAAAGAACTAAAAAAACAATGCTCATATCAAATTGTGATATTTTAGCCTGAGGATGTGAGACCTGCAGAATGCAGGTGTCCGCTTATCTGTTGTGAAGACACTGAGGATGGAGATCAACCAGGCCTGCACAGTGAGAACCAGCCGAAGGAGGGAGCCCTGTGGTGCCAGGACAGTCCTGTTTTGGCTAAAGAATAGGGCCAGATGGAGACCAACAGTGTCAACATCATCCTGCAAACAGATAAGTTGCTTCAGAACACAATTCTGAAGGCCACAATGCCCAGAGTGGAATTTTTTGCCTCAGTGTCCCTATGCCTGTAGTCACCTACTCTCTACTCAAATCCTGCCAAATGTCACCCCGAGGCAGGGCCAGGGGAGGAAAGAGGGAGATAGTATGTAAGGACATGGAGGGAGCGTGTTGATGGAAGGAGAGAAAAAACTCAGAAAAGGCAGTTGATGGGCCGTGCTCTCTCATTCACCCAAGACAGGAACATCTTCTTGATAAGAATTGTGCTTTCACCTTTTGGTGAGAAATACCCAGGACAGTATTTTGCTAGCATTACTATAATATATTAACACTATTGCATAGAGTGAATTTATCAATAGCAACTCCGAATTTTGTTTCTGTTGCTTTAATAAATCACCTATTCTTTGTTATCTTGCAAATTGTCTCTCTAAGTGTAAGTCCTTAATGGGGCTCTGAAACAAGCAAGCGCTTAGCTTGAGTACCTGCCTCTCACAGCCCCATATATTTTCACGCAACACATGCTTAAGGAAAAGTACTGAGCAGCAGGTACGTGCTGCATTTCAGGGCACAGACACTGCAGTAGTATCTGCACTGCTTATACTCGCATTGGCTGTTACCCTCACACTTTAAACTGTTTCCTGAATTACTATACATTATATTGTCAACACACAACTGAAAAGTTATTAGTGAATATCATTTTCAGTAGCTAACGATTCACTTTTGTATTTATTAAGTGGCATTTTGCCTATTTGTATGAAACATAGCTACTCAGTCTAAAGCTTAATCTAAACAGTTTTTCAAGACATTTCTTGAAAGACAACTGGAGTATGATTATTCTCAGTTCTAGTCCTTTTTTCTGGGCTCTCACTACCGCAGTTTCAAAGTCAAGTACTTGCAGTGACATAAACTAATGACAGTCCCCAGGATGAGTTTTCTAAAGAACCCAGCATAGCATACGCTTGGAAGTAGCATGGTACATTAGAAGAGACTGCACAATCAGTCCAGTAGTTGGATTTGTTAGATTTAATTTTATAACTAACACATTCACATCTGCTTTGCAACTCCTCAGAAAATGTGGAAAACGTCAGTGGAGGGACACAATGAAGTCAAGGATCCACTTGTTTTGAAGGCAATACCTCTCAATCAAAAAAGCACTATCATCAGTATGGCTGATATAGGGAACTGCTAAAAGGGCAGCCCTAAAATCCCACTTGAGGCTGACATCCACATGGCTTAATCTCAGTCACAAAAACGGTACCACAAATAGGGTTTCTTTCTGCTAGAAATAAAAATTTGCCAGTATAGCTTAAACATATTCCAGAATTAAGTCTTGTGGGACCCACTCTATGTGTAGTCAAGATCAAGAAAGTAGTTATCCAGGAGGAAAACTCTTCAAAAGCTAGTGATTTCACAGACATGTCAAGAAAACTGAGATGGTGAGAAATGAAAGATCCAGCACTGTCAAAGCTCCTTTCAATTTCTGTGTGTAGGCTTTTTTCAAACAGGTAAACTCAAGCCCTTTCACTTGGAAAAATGCATGCAATATAGTATATCTGAAAAATGGACACAGTACAACAACCAAGTTTAACATTCGCTCCATCAGTTCTCGGAGAATATGGACTTGATGACTTACTATAAACACTTTTTTCTATTATCTCAAAATCAGCATCACCTTTCATCATATTATATTAAGACTTCTAGTAGGCCATTTTACATTGAAGTTTAAGTTTTGGGTCTAAAGTAAATTAGATTAGCATCCAACTGGAATTTTAGTAGAAAATTATACATGCGTTTTGTCATCCAATAGGCAAAAAGAAGGGACGGCAAATATTTTAGCTGAAGCAGTGATGTATACAATAAGCCCAATCTTTAAAGACTGTCAGGCTCAAACCCAACTGCATTTTGACTGAAAAATTTCTAAGCATTTGTTTGAAAATACATCATGAAGCAACTTGATTGAAGTTAATATATACAGAGAATATACAAATGTTTAAAGTGCCTAGGGTTAAAAATTAACAAAATGCATTGCTTTAATTATGCCTAAGGGAAAAAGCAATGTTGAACTGAACAGGTGGCACTAATAGCTTGAAAGTATTTGAAAAAGATCTTTCTTATGGGCAATGGATACATTCCAAACCCACACCAACCAAGAATAAGCAAGAAAGGGAGCAGTAAGACCCAAAGTTTAAGTAGTACCACCACTTTCGAGGAAGGAGTTAGTAATCAAAATGTAACAGGGCTTAACTGCCAAAAAAACTGCTCCTCCTCCAACTGCAGAAAAGTATTAATTTTTAAGAGGATACAGAGTTAGAACTTTAAAACATTTTAACTGCTTTTCACCTTGTTGCTCAAATTAAGCTGCATACAGGACCAGAGTAATATACTAGGAAACTTATGATTACAGCATATTAAAACTTTGAGATGTTATCTTACATTAAAAGATGTAAAGATGTGTGCATTTCACCCTTGTGTACAGGAGCCTGCACTTATAAACTCAGCATTAGTCTGCCCAAGAATCTGGAATGCAAGTCATTTTAATAGGATATCACATCTATTCTGTCATCTTTCAGTCAGCTGCTGAAGCCCCACAATGACACAAACAGAGGTAAGAATCCTCATTCTTCCTGGCAAGTTAACCATATGCACACATCATCAGCAACTCAAAAGCAGTAACCAGTTCACCCGAGCTATTTCAAAAGCTAGCAACAGCAGCACTGGCTTGTCAAAAGCACAAAGCGCTGCTATGTAGGCAAGCATCAGAGCTCCGACGATAGATCAGCACTGCTACTGAGAACAAGTTGATAGGTATATGAATTTGCAAGAGGAGCACATCCAAGACTCTGTTAAGAACTCATCTGGACAGCCTAGTCTGTATTCTTTTCCATCCAGTATAGCTCCAGCTTATAATATACATATCAAAGCGCTGCCATGTAGGCAAGCATCAGAGCTCCGACGTTCTCAGTAGCAGTGCTGATCTATCAAGTTGATAGGTATATGAATTTGCAAGAGGAGCACATCCAAGACTCTGTTAAGAACTCATCTGGACAGCCTAGTCTGTATTCTTTTCCATCCAGTATAGCTCCAGCTTATAATATACATATCAAATAGCTTAAAAACACAATAGATTAGAAAGGTGAGAATTCATTACTACCTTCAATTGCAGCTTAAGATGTTAAAACGTGACCACAAACTTGCTGAAGATCTGCACAATCCAGGCACTCTGCACTGTTCTGCTATACTTCATTCTGTTCCATGCAGTTTATGAAGCATAAAATGTATGTTTAAAACACCTATAATAACGCATCGTACTGATAGATAAGGGGATCAACAAATTGCAAGGGTATGTGCAATAAGCAGGACGGCCTACATTAAGCTAACACAAATCATGTTGAAGGATTCAGGAAATACCCAGTTAAAGTGTAAAAAGTAAATTGATCAGTATAATGTTGCTACGTAAACAAGGATATAAAAAAAGGCTATTTAAGACACTTCCAGTTTACCTAAATGCTAAGACCAAAGCAAAGCTCACTCAAGAACTTAATTTTCTAATTGCATTCATAGAAAATTAGTTACAAAGACCATTTACTTCCCCTCATAACCATTAAGTGAAGTCTTCCTCCTTCCAGTAACTGTGTCCAGTTAGCAACTTATGTAGCTGAACCACTACAAAATGAGTTTCCCTCAAGATGCAAAAAGTCTTAATAGAATGGTCTGTAAAAAGGGTCTCCCATTAAACAGATGCTACTCCTTGAATCACTAAGGAGACAACTGGCTTTTAACAGCTCAGGCAGACACCCAAAGTCTGAGATGTTCAGTCTAACCAGACTGAAAGAAATGCCACTCGCTTTTAACTTCATATAGCAGGACGACACACATTTCAAAAAAAGCTCTTAATACCTCCCCTGCCTTCTGCTGCCTCAACAAGAGAACAGAAAAAAAAGCGTGGTGATAATGTCCTTGTTTCAAGCAGTCTTCCTGCTGCAAAACACCATCAGCTATGTCTTAAATATTTACGAGACTTGTAGGTCAAACCCAGAGGTCTTGAGTTCCAGCAGCAATCTTAAGTCTTTAAACTAGGGTGAGGTTTTCTGCTCCCAAGTGCTTGTTATAAATCAAACAAGCTTTCAGATCAAACAGATCAGCTCTAACTGAATGTATTTGAACTCCACTGCACAAACTAAAGCACTGTCAATGCAAACAACCAAAGCCTTCATGATAAAAATGGTGCTGGTGAGTATTATTAGGACTTTGCTGGTAATTACAAGCAAGGTTGGATTAGATGATCTCTAAGGTCCCTTCCAACCTAGACCATTCTATGATTCTATGATAACAGTAAAGTTTTTTTAACTAGTACTAGAATCAAAAGCCTGCTTTCCTACTGAAGCAAAGTAATCCCAGCCTCCACTGTACCTAGGAATAATGACGACACAAGTTCATGTACCACTGCTCCTTTCCTAAAGGACTACACAACTACTATGCAAAACCTTCTCATATCAAAACTGCTCAAATCACTTGCTATAAAAGCTTTAATGTGACTAAGGAGACAGCCTTGGTTTTGGTCAGCAAAAACAACAAGTGTAGTTCTTTGTTTCTTAGAAAAGGCTACCATATCCGATTACTAACCTTTGCCTCATTACTTATGAACTGCCTATTAAACTTGCCACCTCTGAATATGCTAATGAAGATT